CAACGCTTCTGCCGCAACCTGCGGCGTGGCTGCGGCTGCCCTGCCCTCGGCTACGGCCGCAAGCTCTGGGGAGAGGCTCCCACCAGCGTCCTTCTCTCCAGGCAAGGCGATTGCTTCCCGGTTCTCTGGCCCTTTGGCACCTACAGGAGCCGGGCTATCTTTTGAATCTGCCGCCTTCTGAGGAAGGGCTGAGGAAGCGCTGCCGGTGTTTTGCTTTTCATTGGCGGTTCTTACTTCTTGATCATCCACCTTTGCTGCAGGAGAAAGGTGAACTTCGTCCTTTGATTTATCGTCCTGTTTAACTGAATGGTCCGGAGACAGTGGTTTCCCTGCCTCGCCCCCAGCCTGGGAACCAGCCTCCTTGGCTTTACCGTCTTTCTTCGAAACCTCTTTTCCAGGTTCTTTGTGTCCCGGACTCATCGGCTGCTCGCGAGATTTCTGCATCTCCTGAGCTTTGCTGCTGTTCTGGGCCGCCGCTTCAGGAGGAGGAAGCCCCTTCCCCCTTGCCCCCTCATCTCCCTGCTTTGGGAAGCCAGAAGAACCATTGCCAGCATGACCAGAGCCGGCTACAGCCGCCTGAGCAGAGGGTTCAGAGTCGCTCCCTTGATTATTCCAAAGCATTTGGGGGCCAGTGGGGAAGATTTTAATATTTCTGTTTTCATCCACCAGGTCTTCCATCCCATGGTCCACCTCAGATCCTACAGGAGCCTGCGCTTCTCCCCTCTTTGGTTTTGGCTCTAGAGAAACCGGCTGCTCAGGGGCATTTTTAACCTTCTTACTACTTCCATCGTAACCCCTCTTTTTAGATCTATCGCTAACCGCGGCCAAAGCGCCATCTGCCACTGCTGGCTGCTCTAGGCCAGGAGTTCCCCCCCCCATGCTGCAAGGAGCGGGACTTGCTGCTGCAGATTTGTCCGTTCTCTCCACGTCGCGAGGAGGAAGCATCTCCGTGCCCGCTTTACGCTCCGGAAGATGCAGCTGCTCCCGGTTAGCCTCCCTCTTTTTGCATTTCTCTTTATCACTTGCGTGGGACTTTGCTGGCTCCAGAGGCAGAGCAGGAGCCTGTAGGTTAGCGCTGCCCGTTAGGTCACCCGGCAGGCTCGCCGAAGGGCTGGGATTAGGCTCTTTGCCTTTATCGAAAGACTGAGTTTGCTTAATACTTCCCCCCTCTTCCCCTCCTGCGGGGACGTTACCCAGACCCCGTGCAACGGAGCCCTCAGGACTATTTTCGGCCTTTTTGCCTTTCACATCTCTGCCTTTTCTCTTAGGCTTGTCTGTCCCCAGGTCCCTGGCGGGACCGCGTGCCATGGTCGCGTCTGTCCCGTGCTCTGGGAGAGGCTGGGCTGGATCCGGCTCCTTCTGTCTAGTCACGGGCCAAGACTCTTTAGGGTTGACTACTTCTGGCTCTGCTGTCTCTATTTGATGACCTGCAAGAGCCAGCTGGTTAGCGAAATTCCGATTGCCACCCTGTACTTCAGGCCCTTCCAGCACCTCTCTGCCTACACCCATCAGATCCTCCGGCAAAAGCTCTTTTTCAAACCCAGACCCCTTATCTTTATCAAAGGCCATTTCCTTGGTGCTCCCGGACGCCTTCTCTCTGCTCGGAAGATTGCTGGTTTCCACCCCAGCATCCGCAGCAGATGCCTGCCCCCAAGGACCTTTTTCAGGTTCTTTTCTCTTCCCGTCACTACACCTCTTTCTCGGTTTGTCTGCCGCCAGGGCCGTGGCAGAATTTATCGCCGCTGATTCACCCACAGAAGCTACTCCAGCCTCTTTGCTTCCATCCACCACATTTCCCTCTCTTGCTTGGCTGTCGGCGCCAGCCGGAGCGAGATGCTTTGCTTCCTCTCTCCCGCTCTCCACCTTCCGTTGGCCTAAAGCACCCAAATCAGCCGTTTCATTTTTCCCAACGTTCCCTTTAGGTCTCTCTGTTCCCAACTCAATTGACCATTGCATTTCAGTCACGGCCGATGTGTTCTCCTGAAAACGCTCAGCAGCGACCCAGCCCCTCTCTCTGCCTTTATCACCATCTCCCTTGGCTTTATCGGTTACGTCAGGGAAACCGCTTGGGTCCACCTTATCCTCAAGAAAAGGCTGCTGGAAAAAACTTCTTTCGCCTTTTTTGCTCCTTCCATCACTCCCTCTTTTTTTTGGCTTCTCCGCAGGATAAGCATGCGTAAAGCTCAGCGACTGAGGTCCTCTTCCAGTAAAACCTCTGCCTTTATCAGGGCACGTTCTTTCTCTGCTGGGCTCGCCTGTCCTCCCCCCATCCGTAAGTTTGCTTACATCCTCCGAAAGCATCACCTGCTCAGAGAAGCTTCTGATTTTTTTGACTTTCCCTTCACCACGCTTTTTTTTAGGCCTGTCCATCATCCCGTGGGCAATACTGGGATCTTTTCCAGTCTGGTGCTCTAAGGCAATAAATCCTTTCCCTTTGTTTTTTTCGGGGGCATCTGCTGCCATCACGCCGTCCGCTGCTGCGGCAGAGTTGGGATCTTTGGTTGCATCAGACTTGGGTGACAGGAGGAACGGCCGCTCTGAGAACCCATCAGCCTTTCTGGTTTGCAAAGCAGTAGCTCCCTCAGCTTTCGGCAAGGCCAAGGGTGTAGCCGGGGTTTCAGTGGTACCTGGAGGAGCCTTCAACGCTCCCTCTGCAGCACTAACGTCAGCAGCCGCGCGCTGATCGGAGGACGCTGGTTTAGCTTCATCGGCTGCCCTCGACTCGTTGGGAAGCTCGCCCACCGGCCCCCCAGCCGCTAGCAGGGCGGGCTCTTTGAGGGCTTCATCCTCAACCCCTTGGCTTTTTTCACAACTCCCTCCCTTCTTTGCTGCTTCTCCCAATGACCCACTGGGAGCCCGAAGCTCGCGCTGGATGGTGGCACTGGATGCTCCGTGCCGGGGAGATGCGCGTGTAACCTCCTCGTCCTTACCAGAAAGGAGCAGTTCTGAAGGTTTGGTCTCCAAAGGAGTTTCTACTTTGCTCGGATGGATCACTTCGGAAAGAGGTGGCATCAGGTCAGCACAGTCTGATCCCTTATGCTTCCGCTTCTCTTTTTTATCAAGAAAATCTCTTTCCATAGGCTCGGTTGGCACCTTTGCTGTAGCGGATGCCCCCACCTTAGTCGTGCCTACCTGCTGCAAGGGCACCTCTTTCCTTTTGCCTTTAGATTGCAACACCAAACCGCCATCATCTCGCATTTCCTCCGTTCTCATGACGTCCCCATGCTTTGCATCCAACACCGGCTCTATCGGCACGCTGGGTTTTGGGGCCTGCTGCCCTGGTGCTGGCACTGAGAAGGCACTTTGCTCCTCCAGGAGATGACTTCCAGGTATTACTTTAGCATCCTTTGGCAGATCCAAAGCTTTGCTTCCTGAGGCAGTCGAGCGCTCTTTGCGAGCTTCAGCAGGCACGACCGGACAGACATCTGGCTTTTGCAATTCAACAGCAAATGGAGAACTTCGAGGAGCTTTTGAGACCGTTACGTTTTCATCCCAGAACTCCGCTGTTCTTGGCAGCTGGTTCCTCTTCTGTTTTGGTTTCTTTTTCTTTTTCTTGACGACGGCCAGAGAACCTTCCAGATCCCAGCTCTCCCTTGGTACATCTCGGCAGCTCTCCACAAACTCCGACAGCGCACCGGGTGCCTTTTGATGGGAAACCCTACTGCGAGGGGATGTTCCAGCCACACATCCAAGTTCGACTAGAGAATAGGGCTCTACTTTTGGGTCAGTGCTCTTCTGTGGTGGGAGACCTATTAGCCGCTCCTCTGGCACATCTGCAATAGGCACCGGGGCAGGTTTCGCTCTGCCAAACCTGCGTTCACTTGATTTGTTAGCTTGCCTTATTTGTGCAGTAGGTAGACCTGGAATACAGGAAGCCTGCTCAAACATCAAAGCAACTATTTGCTTTATAAAAAATAAATAAATATACTATAGATGTCATTTTAGCCACCTAAACCAATCCATATGGTAGTATATGCAGAATTTTCCAGCCCCGATACCGCACCCATTCTAAACCCACCTCACTAGGGCTGGGATAGACATTTACAGGCAAAACCTATATAAACTGCTACCGATAAATGCGTCAATGCTATTTAAAAACACGGAATTCCCGGTACAGGCTCTAACCCCACCGAAAAGTGACAGTTCTTGTAAGGACACACTCTCTCTTTTTTTTTTTAAATGCATTAAGGATCCATTTTGTCTTAGCAAGACAAGAAAACGGACAGATTTTTTATATCCCTAACTGGCATCCCTCCAAAACGTGGAATGAAACGTTTAGCGGGAAGGTGAGGCTCGGGAAGGGAGAAGGGGCGCACCGGGGGGCAAAGGAGCTGAGTCTCCCACAGCACCCAGGGTGGGAGCAGCGGGGGGCAGAACCTCTGCGCCAGAGGTCGTTGGCTGGCCTGGGCTACGGGCAGCGCGAGGTCGCCTTAGCTACAAGCCCCTAATTTTAAAGAGAGCCTCAGTCATTTGCCAGTTAGCCCTGGCCCACAAATCAGCCTCCGGCCCCAAGCGTAGGCGATAACAGCTCGCTGGGGAGGCTGGGTCAGTGGAGCAGGAAAAAAAACCAAAAACCTAATTACATTTTCCTTTGGTAATTACAAAACTCAATTTGGAAGGAGGTCTTCACTGGGAATATTAGAATAAGAATGAACGGTCCTTTTTAATACCAAAATAAAAAGCTAGTGGCAATGGCAAAAAGATGGTGAGCTCTTAAATTCTACGGCAGAGCAGATATAAGGCGGTCCCAGCGACAACGTGCTAGCAGCACCCACGTTTGGGCTTCCAGGCCGGTGCACACGGAGGGGCAAAGAGTATTGAGGAGGGCAGGGATGGGCGGCAAAGTGCACACAGAATCACTGGTGACTGCAAGGACCCACGCGGCTGCTCGGTGCAAGAAAGATTTCTGCTTGCTGGAGTGGCGAGGCGGTCAGGAGGAAAAGGGAACAGCTCACAGGGGGCACTTCCACCCCAAAAGGGAATTATGGTTTATATCCTACCTGCGGGCTCCTGCGGGGCTTTTTCTTGCCGAGGTTCCGCCTGTGGGACGTGGTTGTGCTCAGCCTCCGCCTTTTGCTGCCCTGTGGCAGTAACACCCACCGCAGTTTCGGGGAGGAGGTCTTTATTTTCTAGCGCAGCGGCTCCTTTCGCTTCCACTGGAACTGAAATATGGAAAAACATGACCGGAATGCTTCCATTCGTACGGGTGCAGGCAAGCCGCAGCTTAAAAGCAAGCCCTTGGGAAGGGTATAGGTTTCATTTCAATAGCAATGACGTTTATAAGATACGGCAGGCGATGCATTCTCTCCTCACGATCCCACTTTAAGCAGCAATTTTACATTTGGGCAGGCCGAGGTGGAGGTAAAACATGAAGCAAAGGCTGCCCTGGGGCTTGAGCACAGGGAGAGGCTTTAGGGTCTTTTTTTCCTCTCCACAATCAACAGCATTCAGACCATCCCAGCGTCCCGCTGGAACTCAAACCCAGAACATTCTCCGTTACCAGTCTGGAGTCCCTACCCTATGCTAATCACCTGGTGTGCATATATACCTTGGAATATATTCACACAGACACTACAGAACTCCTAGCTACACATAATTATAACAAGTTTTCATCTGTAAGACGTAATTACATTGGAGAATGGTTCTATTTGTAATTAATTTTATTTAAATTTTAAATAGAAGTGAGAGTTACGACAGACAGTGGTGCAACAACTACGGCTGAGGAGGAAAAAGACGAGTTACACGATGGCCATTCCCAACGTTAACGCTGCTATTTATACCAGTCCCCTCGTTAGCACACACTAATAACCTTCTTGAAATTAAACCTTCGTTGCTTTTCCCTCGACAAGGACAGGAGAACAGCGGCTGCGAGGAAGAGCTTAGGAGGTGGGGTGGAACTAGATGATTCTGGCTCCAGTTTCATACTGGGGTTTGCATTTCTCACCTGCCGGTTCCGAAGGATGGTTCGTCTCTGGAAGATGCTCCCCGTGGTGGCCGGGTCTGCTGTCTGTAGCTTTCTCTACAAGATCCACACAAGCTTCTGGGGCTTCCGAGTCTTGTTCCGCGTTTGCCGTTGCTTCTGCAAACAGACCGTAAAGAATAAAAATCCCTATTATTTTTAATTCAGATCAGATTAAGCAAGATACAAACCCCTTCCTTGCCCAATTCCTACCTTCCGCAAGAAACCAAAGGTTCTCCTCACTTTCCAAACAGTAGGAATCTGCTTTTTAGGATCCCTGGCTACCAGCTCTCCCCTCCTGAAAGCCTGAGTGTTCTCCTAAAGCAAACCCTCCTGTATTTCTGGTATCCACCCTTTCAGTCACGCACCTACGCCTCCGTTACCACATTCCAGTAGGGATTTTTTTTCGTTGAAACTCATCTCTTTTGAAATGCATTCCTATCATTAAACTAAAGAGGCTTAGAACGCAAGAAAAGAAAACATCCGACCCCAAACCTTTCTGCAGTCAGTCCTCATACACCGCCTCTGCCCAGCCCCGTGCGTTCTGCCTTGATGGTCATGCTCTCTCCAAAAGGATGGTGTCCCTCGAGCAATCCATGCAGCGCAGAACACCCATCGGCCACCACAGGGAAAAAGCCCAAATGCCCGCCTTGCCATTGCAACGCCTCTAGTCATCCAAAAGAAATGCCACCAAACTACCCACAAACCCTACCCGTCTGCTCAGAAACTATTTTCAAGACAAGAAGCTTCATTGGAAGCCACTGTGTCCTACAGGACCTACAGAGACCCCAGTATGTGCTGAGGATGATCGCGATACAAAAACAGGTAACAGGGATGAACTAAAATGTCTCTATGGCTGTCCTAAAAACCATATGTCACCGCTAAGAATGTCAAGTGAAATAAAAAAGTCATTAAGATATTCTAGTTTTATATTTTATAAGCGAAAAGCCCTCATGAAGCTCTTCCTTGGCCTGTGTCTTGACAGCAGAACTGAGCTCTACTTACGATGTTTTGTGCAAGGCATATCACAACCTCGACTACTAAAACAAATACGCTTTTTATTTGACCGCCCTACAACAACTGGGCATCCGTACGGCATCGCTACGTGTGTCGCTGCTAGAGCCATGCCAACCGAGCGGCCTTCTCGCTATTCCGAGCCTGAACGAAGCCCTCAGGCAGACATGCTCACCTGCAGGAGGCTTGTCGCAGGGTGACTTGTCTTGATCAGCAGAAGACCCGGATGTCATCAGCTCTTCAGATGCAGCAACCTTGGCGTCAGCCGCAGAGACAGACTTGGCTTCTGCAGAGGCAACCCCAGGAGCCAAGGCAGGGAGAGGCTTGGCTTCCACTACAGGAGCAAACCCAGAATCCATAGCATGATGATGGTTGACTTCTGCTGCAGGGGCAAACTCTGCATCTGCTGCTGGGGCAAACTCAGAATCCATAGCTTGATGAGATTTAGAATCTGCTGCGGGGGCAAACACCAAATCCATAGCGTGGTGAGATCCCACATCTGCCGCGGGGTCAAACGCCAAATCCACAGCATGGTGAGATTCCACATCTGCTGCTGGGGCAAACGCCAAATCCATAGCATGGTGAGATCCCACATCTGCTGCGGGGGCAAATGCCAAATCCATAGCATGGTGAGAACCCACATCTGCTGCAGGGACAAACCCTGCATCTTCTGCTGGGGCAAACTCGAAATCCATAGCATAATGGGATGTAGCATCTGCTGCTGGGGTGAAGCCAGTACCCACCACTGGGGCGGATGCAGCATTGGCAGCATGAGGAGGCTTGGCTTCTGGTGCAGGAGCAAACCCAACATCCATAGCCTGAAGAGGGTTGGCTTCTGCTGTGGGTGCAAAGCCAGCATCCAGAGCTTGAGAAGTCTTGGGTTCTCCTGCAAGAACGGACCCAGCTTTTTCCACAGAAACGGCCAGGACATCCGAGGCAGGAACACACGCTGCATCTGCTACAGAAACACAGGTGGCAGCAATCAACAAAAATCCACAGAAGGTAAAAACCCAACAGCGTGGTTTGGTGACTAGAGGAGACAGGGCTTCCGCTCCATGTCTGTCGCCTTCTCTTTCAGCATCCCTTACTCCCCCCTCAGGCCAAGCTGTGGCCTTTTCCAGTCCTCAACGCACCCGAGAGCTTCTCCTACCACAGCCCCGTGTGCCCGGTTTTGTAGCCTTGACTACAGCCTTAGACATCTCTCTGCTCCTAACACGCATCACCAGGGCTACTAAAATGCTCCGAGGGCTGGAGCCCCTCTGCTCTGAGGCCAGGCTGGGAGAGTTGGGGGTGTTCAGCCTGGAGAAGAGAAGGCTGCGGGCAGAGCTGAGTGCGGCCGGGCAGGGCTTCAAGGGGGCCCAGAGGAAAGGGGGGGACAAGCTTTTTGGCCAGGTTGGCCGGGGCTGTGAGCAACCTGATGTGGTTCAAGGTGTCCCTGCTCCTGCAGGGGGTTGGGCTGGGTGACCTCTAGGGGTCCCTTCCCACCCAAACCATTCTGTGGTTGATTCTATGATTCTAGAAGATGCTTTGTTTCGCTTAAAAAGTGCCTGATGCTACATGGCTGGCAAGAGACCAGAGCTGCTGGATCCCCCGCGAGCACCACATTCCACCAGAACACAGACAGGAACCACAGCGAGGGGGTTTTTGGCCCCCTCCATAGCAGGACACGGCAACTTTTGGTGTCGCCTTCATGAGCCCAGCTGTGTATCCCACCAGCGGAAAAAGTCCCGAGATATTCCAGAGCCGTACGCGTTTCTCTTAAAATATTGTTTCTGGTGTTCACAGGTGGCAATGGTGCTGCAGCTGGGGCAGAAGAATTGGCACCAAGGAGGCGGCCGCCCCGTGAATCACCAATTGCCCTTCACTGGGTCATGCCCAGCTTGGCCTCATTCATTTTTTACACCGTTATCTACTAAACGCTGAGCTGCTGCTTCCCAAATAACATCTGTCAGCTCGCGGCACGGTCAAGCCTCTGCGTTGAAGTCAGCGTTTTCATAAGATGCCCTTAAAGGAGTTTTTTTCAGTCGGTTTTAGTTTAACATCTCAGCTGTCTAGAGGCAAGGCTTTACAAACCAGCAAGAGCCAGGAGCAGCGGATTTCTCTTCGGCATCTGTTAATCCCAACAGCCCCCAGTACTACCCATGCTCCGCAGGGTGACCTCAACATCTCAGATCATTGCTGAGGAGATGTTAAAAAAAAAAATTAAATCTACTGATTGTTTGAGTCACATCTAAAAATACCCTCCCCAACTTTTAAATTAGCTACCTAGGCTGAAAAAGGAAAGAAATGAGAAAAAATGGAAAAAAATCCCTTTTCAAATAGCACTGCGGGACCCATCTAGATGAAACCAATATTCCAGTGAACCAGCCCCAATAGATCCGTTACGCTCTGTCATTTGGGGTTTGCCCTTTTGATTTGAAGCGCTTGCTGAAATAAAGTTTAAAGATTTTACAGAAGACAGAGACAGCAAAGAAATTGGGATTAGAAGTAGGGTGGCTGCTCCCTGGTGAATCATGGGAAGTACTGGAACAAAGCGTAAGGGAACTGGACACAGACTGGTGCAGAATGCACCATGAGTCGGACGCTGCATATAAACCCCTGAAAAGCTCTGGTTTAAAGGTAGTCTTTAAACCGGAGCGTTTTCAAGGTATTTTTACATAGCGTCCGTCAGGCTCGGGGTGCAACCACGCCCTTGACACACCTTAACGTTCTTCTGGAGCTAAACTGCTGAGAAGGGAAAGACTCATTACATGGGTCGCCGGGCTATGATGTGAGGGTTGAGTCCCCATCCCTGGAGGGATTTAAAAGAAGGAGAGATGAGGTGCTTAGGGCCAGGGTTTAGTGGTGGGATGGCAGGGTTAGGTTAAAGGTTGGACTCAATGATCTCAAAGGGCTTTTCCAACAAAAGTGATTCTATGATTCTATGGTTGCAAAGGCGACTGCGCTTCGTGCTATTTCTCACCACCACCATCCATGGAGCGTAGACCTTTGGTCACGCCGGAGTTTGTCAAGCCCCCGCCGTCTTCCCTTCGGAAGAGGCAATCCCATGGCTTCTCCCTCCATTGCAGCTTGCTCGCGAAGGGCCTAAACCCAGAGCCGACCTTTAGACTGGGGCAACTTTACCTTTTGGTCCCTCAGCAGGTTCAGCCTCTCCTGGGGATGCTGTTACTGCGGCCGGAACGAAACCAGGAGCCACGGCTGCAGGGCTTTCCGGCAAATTCGGCTTTATTGCTCCAGTCGCTGTGGGGGGCACTGGGCACACAAAACGAAGATTCATTAAGCACTCAGACCATAGCAAAGAGCTTTCTCTTATGGAGATGGATGTGAATCACCCCGCAAAGAGTGCTTCTTGCAACCCTGATGAGTAGGTGCCCCCACTGCAGCATCCCCAGCCGGGTCAGACAAAACCAGAATCGGCTTTTTATCATCAATTTTCAAATTGGTCTGTGCGAGACCTAGGAAAACGCTTGCGTCTTGAGAAAAGCGACTGCCGTGACAAAGCTGAGCAATGTTCTGTTACAAAGCATCCCAATTCCAGCCCGAGCCCCAGGCAGAGCCACCAGCTCCAGAAATACTTTCTGCCCAGGACCAGTGTTAAATCACTCTCCTCTTAGCTTGTTCACCAAAATCGGCAATAAAGAACCCACTACGGATCAAATATCGTAATATACAGGCAACCACAATGGAACGTCAACTCAACGGAGCTTCTGGGGCTGTGAGCAACCTGATGTGGTTCAAGGTGTCCCTGCTCCTGCAGGGGGGTTGGGCTGGGTGACCTCTGGGGGCCCCTTCCCACCCAAAGCATTCTATGATTCTATAACCTAAAGGTAACTGGACAGAGCACATAGGCTTGCAATTAGAATTTAGTTAAAAATTCTATTGATTACGCATGAGCCAAAATTACGTTTGTTGGCGCCCTTGGCTGCACTGACCCTTAGAACTTTAAACCCTGGCAGGGGTTGCCCAGAGAGGGGGTGGAGGCCCCATGCCTGGGAACATTCCAGGCCAGGTTGGACGGGGCTGTGAGCAACCTGATGTGGTTCAAGGTGTCCCTGCTCCTGCGGGGGGGTTGGGCTGGGTGACCTCTGGGGGCCCCTTCCCACCCAAAATATTCTGTGATTAGGAAGCAGTAAACCCAAGGTCAGCAGATCTGGCTCTCGGTGTGTACAAAGACCAAAATCCTCGACAGTAAAGTTCCAGCTTTAGAGTTTCTTCCCAAGGGTAAATTTTATTCATCCTACTTATTATTTTAGCATCAAGTAATGATTGAACACAGATCCCAACTGGAATTTACAGGACCTTCACTGTAACGGAGCCTCACAGAATGGAGGCACGGTCTGGAATGGGCAGAGCTTGCTGCTTGCACACCCACATCTGCTAACTTCATTCCCCAAAACTCAGGACAAGGCATGCTGTCGGTCGGGTCAAGCCCTGCTACACACTGTGTCCCCAAAAGGGCACACCACGGATATCGACTGACGGCTGGGCTTGGAACTGCACATATTTGATTTGTTGCCCTAAATTGGAAGTAAAGAGTCTATAAAATGCAGGGTCCTCCCCACCCCTTACAGCACCACACCAGAAAATGGGGGTTCAGTAGCATCTCTCCAAACCACACACTTCTATGCTAAATTGACTGGAGAACCAGCAACAGCACTTTTCTTGGTCAGGTCCTGCTTCGCTCCGTTAGAGCCTTGCGTGTCTTGAAAAGGCAGGCAAGGAGAGAAGCTCTGCTTCTGCTGCTCGGAAACTCTCTATAGGCCGTGCCCGCAGATCAAGTCAAAACTATTTTTACCTGATGGCTCAACAAAGAAAGAGGCATCTGGTCCCTTTGCGTCGTGCTGAGCTCCCAGCCAATGTTCTTCAGGCACTACGGAAAACACACACGTTTAGTCCTGCCCCTGACACTAACACTGCTTTAGTGTTTCAGCTGAAGGTATTGACCCTCCTGGTTTGTGAGTTCGTTCTCAGGTAACTTTTCAGTTCTCTTTAAGACCTGTACCAGAACACCATGTTCTTCTGTGATTACTGTTGGTGAGGGCTTGCATCAGAGAAGAGTTACAACCAGCACTGACTCCAGGACCTGACAGGGCAGGCTCTTTGCTCAACTCTTCCGGGCTCTAGGTGGCCCTGCTTGAGCAGGGGGGGTTGGACAAGACGACCTCCAGAGGTCCCTTCCAACCTCAACCCTTCTGTGATCTTCCAATATCTTCAGAACATTCACACTGAACCAAGAACCCTCATTGCCAACAGGGAGCTTTCTAATCTTGACTCATCTTACGAATCAACTCCCCCACCAAGATTCTTTAGGACCAATACACAAAAATCTTCCAGCTGCACATCCTTCAAACCCAGCTAGCAAGACAAACATCTGCTTCTCACCTGCTCTGTCTTGTAGAAATTCTGCAGTTGAATCCAGGCCCATGAAGGCTGATGGGTCTAGAGCCTCTGCAGGAGAATACAGGGGCCCCAAGAAAGGTTGTTCAGGTACCATCATAGATCCATGTGGTGCTAATGAAACCAAAGACCATTCGTTAATCACCATCCTAACCCTAATGACTCCCCTCCAAAATTTAAAGGCTGTCCAACACTTGGACAATAAACTACTCTGTTCTGCTCGCAAACAGTTTAGATCAAGAGCAGCCCACTCAACTCTCAATTAGCTCACCTTTACAAACTTCATCGTAAATTAGGTTTGCGTATATAATTTTTTAACAAGGTGTAAGACAGTGAACACAGGCAAATGATTTCCCTTTCGCTTTCTGCTTCTGCTCCTATGAATTCTGGTTAAAAACTGCTTAAACTCCAATAGTCCGAACACTGAAGACCACTTTGTGGAAAAAGTTCAGGCGTATTTTGTTTCTAGCCGTCAAAACAAGAGCTGTTGGTAACTCCTGCTTCACCTCAACTTGTCTAGAAGACCTATCTCCTTCTGCCTAAATATTCTTAAAAAACCCCTTCCTGGAAGTAGCTATTGGAATGGCTTCAGGCACATGCAAAAAATCACATGAAGAGGTTATAGAAAAAAAAAAAAAAAAAAAAAAAATCACATGAAGAGGTTATAAATCCTGTGTGCTTATCAGCTTAATGGTTTTCAGTACCTGAAAGTAAACAGAGAAAACACCAAAACCTGACCATCAGGGAGGGGAAACTCACCGTGGATGTCTCCGGAAGCATCAACATGGTCCGTGAACAGCGGCATGTTCTTCATGTCAGTAGGAAACGACAGATCAGGCAGATTCTCCGCTCTGTGCATGCCGAAGGGGTCTGGCAGGAGACAAGAACAAGGCCAGTGTCACCACAAGGGAGGGGGACAAGATGCACGGTAAGATTATTTTACAAGCAAGATGAAGATACACCTGACCACCACCACTGGACTTCCAAGGGAAAGCTGCTTTCCAGACTATTTACCAGGGGCAAACACCTTCTCAATTCAAATTTATGCCCACCAGTACAACGTGGTTGCTCAGACTGCTTCCTAGGGAAAATGGACTGACGTTCCGAGTACGATTGTTGCACGGAGAACCTGTCTCCTCCTCTCGAGGAGGAAGCATCTGCGTTTGGCCTGACGGACACATACCAGGAATGACGGCCGAGCTCCGGATCAGCTACCTCGACGGCAGACCAAGGAAACCCTGCGTAAGCTACACGCTGCCCTCCCCAGGAACAGTGCACCCGTATAAACTGCCTGGTGGGCCAGTATTGCAACTAAATGCCGAGCCAGAGAGGAAAATAACCCATTTCCCAGTGTCCCAGGCAGATGAGCAGCCTTCGCCCTTAGCTCCAGACCAGACACGCTGGGGAGGCTTTGGGGATCGTTAGTCCACGGTTGCAAATTGTCTGCTGTCAGCCTTGGTTGGTCTAACGTGCGTTAGCTTTGTTCTGCTTTTGGTCCGTGTTTTAAGTGCATATAGCAGTGTCATCTGCAAAGGAGGGTGCTTCAGCAGCTGAGGATTCAGCAAACGACAATTCTTTTTCTGCAGGCTTTATTTTTAGAATCATAGAATCCCAGAATGGTTTGGGTTGGCAAAGCCCTTTAAGCTCCCCCAGCCCAACC